CAACTCCATCGGCCGACCCGACCTTGGAGCATCAGAGCAAGAGAAAAGTCTCCTTTCTTGAATTTGGCGAACCAATTCTTGCATGTCATGTAAGAGATGACGTCCTCACCGTATGTATCCACCAGCTTGGTATGGGCTTCCTTTGCATTCCAGCCGAAATCGTGGAGCAAAACCAAACAGTGGCGCAGGTACGTTTTGTCACAGTGCAAATTGTGCGACATTGTGTACTGCAAATGCAAGCTCGGTGAGTGATAGCTAGTGTAATGAAAGAGTATAATGTACACGTCACGTATGACGTAATACCAACATCCATGCGAACGAAATAGGAGAGGATCAAACACGTGTATAAGAACTTATGCAACAACCTAATACTTGCACAAGGGAGTACTTGCTTGAGCGCAGTGACTGTCTTTAACTAGATGTGCTGGTTAAGCGTGGGGCATGCTATGGGTCACTCTCTTGGGCATGTACGCGTGAAATGTTCATACAAGCTGTTTTTAGGCGATGAAGCGACCACTCGAATGTGATCGAGGCAGTTACTGACGCCTTGTCCTGGAAGACTATTGCCTGAACTTTCTTTCTCCCGTTTCCGTCATTGGTTCAGTTGCATCCACCCACACACTGCCAAGCGCTTTGAGAAAATGGGCACACGGAGACAGCCTAAGGCCATCTAATTTGCGAAGATAGAAACGCTTTCATTAATAAGACTTGCAAATCGATTAGTATGCACGGCCCCAGCTCCTGTATCGCGCGTGCACCGGTCACAAATCTATAATTTATTCGACAGGAGCTGCGGAAGCAGGAATGCTCCCATAGCGCGGATGCATATGGCAGCATTCAACTTATTTGACCGGTTACATGGGTTTCCGTGCGATCTAGGGGAATCAGGGGCACATACCGAAAAAAGGACGGAACAAAGGAAAAAGGTCGGCAATACCCGTAGGACTTGAGTTCCCATAACCTAATTTGATCCTCTGGTGATTGCGACAGTGCGAGCTAGCAAAACTCGTGAAAAAAATACTTGGGAGGAAGTTTGGGTTCAACGTATTGTGAAACTTTTCGTCCGCTTAATAGAAAAATTAACACGAAAGGTAAACAGTTAGTAGGCAAGATGATAAGCAACTCACGTGCAGCTTTTTTTCAAAGAAGTAACAGGCATAGAGGTTCACAATATTCTCATGCTTGCATGACGTCAAAATCTCGATTTCAACGAGAAAATCCTCCAACTCCTCACCTTCGCGAATCTCAATTCCCTGAAACAAATAACGCTCGAATAAAATATTCAAAGAAGAATTTGAATGATTGATGTTCACTGACCTTCGCTGCTGCAAACAGGCAAGGATCCGTTTTTGAAACGGCTTTCTCGACTTTACCAAAAGCACCATCTCCCAGGTCCCCAACCATTTCCCAGAACTCTTTAGGATCTACGTTAACCTCAAACAAGGAATTAGGAAAAATTCACGGCAGCATTCATAAAAAAGACTAGAGGAAACAAGATGATAAGCAAGGACATAAAAAAAGTGCCAAAAAAAATAAGAGAACCGAGAACATACCCCGATAATTGATGGCATTACTCGCCTTGATTCCTCAACTGCGGGACTCCGAAAGAGGTTCTTCACTCTGCCGAAAAACGACATTTCGGAGGCCTGGTTGTGCGGATAGTATGTGGCCAACTAGAACTGCGAGATGTGCAAGGCAGGTGAGAACGCTGAGAAATACAAATGCACAATGCACGTCCCGACGACAATAGAATATGAGTATGATCCTGCCAGCAATCCGACGATTATGCTACAGCGGCACTAATGAGCTCACTCAGGTAGGCAGACCGTGAATCACCTCACCCCGATCGCATCTATTCCTTGGAGGGTACCGCGACGTAAAATAAAATGTACATTGCCGGCTGCACACATCACGCGCAATCTCACACGCCACACACAGATTGCTGCCAGGGCATGTCGTGGTCAGGGCACATCATTGGTTGGGGAATCCCCAATAGGGGGTCGTATTTGGTCGCCAGGAGGGGGTCGTATTTGGGCTGAGAAAAATTTATTTTGATAGTTGATTTTTCTCGCTTCATGGACGTTGTAAAGGGAGGGGGTCGTATTTGGGCTGAGAAAAATTTATTTTGATAGTTGATTTTTCTCGCTTCATGGACGTTGTAAAGGGAGGGGGTCGTATTTGATCAGAGAAAAATATATTTTGATAGTTGATTTTTCTCGCTTCATGGACGTTGTAAAGGGAGGGGGTCGTATTTGATCA